AATGATGATTGCCTCTTACCTGTGAGCTTCCTAATGTGCTAACAAACTCCCCTTTAGATACCATTTCCAAGTGACACTGAGGTTTATAAACAGGATGTTATGATCATTATTCAGCAGCTGTAATTGGATGCATTAAAGTCCCGCGTGCGCATCTATAACACAAGGTGTGTATAGGTGCTTTAGCAAACGTACACGCCTGCGTACATGTGTACCCTCAGGCCCCGTGTGCCCTTTATTAGCAGCAAGTTGACTCCATTCAGCTTGGCTAGTGATTAAAGCTTTTCATGGCGGGAACTTTCACACCGCTGTGAACCGTGTGAGGTGATTAAAGGCCGCTCAATTTGTAGTCCAGTCCCACTGCTATTCCTCCTCATTGATCTTCTTCAGGCCCTTGAAGTGAGATCTGCTCCTCTCATTGGAATACGACGGGACACACTCTCTGCCTGCCTGCCTCAGCAAATATTTCACAGACGTGTATCAAATCTAATTACCAGCTGAAATTAGCTGCCATGTACGGCTGGTATTTAATAACGCTTATGTGATTAACTTTGTTGTGTTTCTTTTGATGTTGTTATATGAATTTAATTACGCTCTTTTATGTTGAACAGTATGCACGAGTGCATATCAAGCAGCGCTCCATAAACGTCGTGCTCAGAGTGCTGACATTTATACGATGCATAAGAGGAACAAATGTTACGGCCACGCGTCATTTTCGTTTTAACAAAGAGCCTACGACCTCATTATGCTAAAAGCTAACAACAGCACGCTGACAATGACAATGCTAACGTGCTGATGTTAAGCAAGTGCACCATTGGTCATTCTAGTATAGCGTGTTAGCATGCCAAAATGTTTTAATTGGCAAGAGGTTGATGAGAATGTCACTAGCGTTGCTGGTATCTGGTCAAAAATGTCCTGAGGGGAAACATGAATGTCTACCAACATCTTCACGTTGTTCAGATTTTAAAGCCCTTTACGATAGATTTGTTATTTTGGCCCATGTAAATTATACCGACTTGACTTGACACCCTAGGAGAATGTGTCCACTTTCAATTTCCACCCCAGAATACCCAGCTAAAACACAGCTACAACACTTTCTCACAATGCGGAGAGACGCAGTAAAGGCCAGGGGAAAGGGTTATTACACCACCGATGCGAGATGCCAAAACACTTCCCACAAGCAGTTTCCAGTCTAACAAGTGGTTTCAGGACAAATAGAAAAGACTGATTGTGGTAATGTTCTGATATCAGATTTGATCAAGCAGCAGATGTATTTTTATTGCAGGTCATTACTGCTGCCATACCTATTAGCATACAAATGGTTTCTGGGCCTATGGAGACCGAAAAGTTATTGCATGTGTAATTGAACCAGATCTCTGCTCTGTGATTGAGATGTTCCAGCACACACACACACACACACACACACACACACACACACACACAGACACACACACACGTTGCCGTGCACACAAGGTGGTGAGCATATTGTGTGTACGCACAAATGCGCCGACTCACAAGTGCTTTTTTTTCTATTTCGGTACAGAGAAAGTAGAAGATGAAGAACAATAGGACAGAGGAATATGATCATGTCATTGATCAGCACAACACATTAATCTCCTGCAGACTGTTTGGACACAGGTTTATGAATAACACGTCAATGATGCAAACAGCTGACTTTGGATGTGATCCTGAATCTGTATTTTAACAAAACTACTGGATGCAAATGAAAGAAATAAAATTAACTGAAGTTCAGTTTCACTTTCTGCTCAAGGATGTCTTTGCCTTCTTCTCATTTCCAAGAATGATTTAATAGTGTCATGATATGGTTGGAGCTTTTTAGTGCTGCCGCTCAATTTTATGTGACAGGTCGTTATGACTGTGGCACGTCACAGGAATTATTGCTGGGAACAGTAGCAGACGTTCAAAATCCAATTGACTCAAGAATTCATTGTGTTTCCCGTATGTTGAATTTTTGTCGTTGCCCAGAGAATTGTTTTGTTGCTGCTGTCTACCGTCCTTTGAAAGCTGCACTACATGTATACATGCGCTTCTGTTTTTTTTTGTATTGTTTTGTTGTTTGTCATGTTCTTTTCTTGTGTGCAACCCTGTGTTGTATCATGACAACACATTTGAATTAGCAAATGTCAGCATGCTTGATCGTACCACTCTCATGTCGTCCGTTAAATGTGAAGCTACAGCCAGATGCTGGTTAGCTTCACATGACAACTGGAATCAGAGGGAAACAAATAGCCTGGCTCTGTCCAAACTGAACAAAACAATCTAGTTAGTTTGATCCGTAGGCCGCCAACATCAACCAAAGTGTTAAAACAAGAAGTTATGGGGGGGTTGCTGAAATAAGCTAATTGGTTTAGCTAAGCTAACCGGCTGCTGCAACTTTATATTTAATGCAAAAACATGAGAGTGGTATTGATCTTCTCATTTCATATTCAGCATGAAAGTGAATAAGCACATTTTCCCAAATATCAAACTGTTTGAGGCTACAGTAGGTGACTTGAGAAAATATCCATCCCTCTGCACATCAAGACTCTGGCAATTCCATTTGTCACGTGAACCTTTCATTTCACTGTTAGTACTGACACACTCGGATTTGATTTGTGCATTTCAGCTTCAACAAAGATGGATGAGGCTCCTCACCAAGGCTGTCTGTCTCAGCCAGGACTCAGGAGGAGACATTGAATTACCACATCCAAGGCTGCGCTCTACATGAAAGGGCCACACACATACACAGCATTCACACATACACAATGTGTGTGCCTGCATGTGTGTACTCTTGCATATGTCTGCACGGTTTTGCAAATATCACAAGTGTATATTTTGGCGAGTGGAATTTTCAAAATCTGCACTGCATTACAGATATTAACGAGAGTTAATGACCTCAAAATGTGCAAATAAATCTCCATTTGGCTGTTTAGTTGCTCGGCTGGCTGACTCGCCGGCTGGCTGGGAAGACTATGTTGACCTGGGTGCATCCAAATTAGATATTGGCATGGTTGCGTGTGTTACACAGTGGGAGTGCTGCTCTGGCTAAGTCACCCTGCTGCTCTAAATCTGGCCAGTGCTCAGCTCAGCAAACACAATGCAACAGCAGGGAGACCGCATCTCCACAGTCCCATTAAGCTGCAGATAATAGCGAGGCAAAAGCAGAACCCACACAGATGTTTTTTGTTTTCTTTCCTTGGATCCTACATTGTTGTTGATTTGTCATTACACTGTCATTTGTTGGTTTTGAAGTGAGGCATCCAAAAATGCCTACTGGAAGTGCAAAACATAAATTTCAGTCTGTAAAGTGAAGGACTGTCACAATTACGCATGGACAGACCACTTTAGAGAGCTTCAATTCAAATTCAGTGACATATAAACAAAGCGCATCTGATCATTCTAGTGGCAAAAGCTGAGGAACATCCATCTATACTCACATCACTCACCAGTGCCGCCGCCCCCCCCCCCCCACACACACACACATACCCCACACACACACCCCATCGTAAATTAGTTAAGGGAATGAAAGTGAGAAGAGGTGGAAAGAATGTCAGAGAGGGAAAAGGCAGTAATGGGGTGAGAGAGGGGAGACAAAAGAGAAAAGGAGGAGGTAGAGAATGAGGAGGTGGCCATCGTATGCCTCCATGTCTTTGATCAGTGGTCCATGGGGAACTGAGGCAGTGCAGATAGCTGGTCCACAGCTCCTGAGGAACGCAGCTTCACATTCCTCCTTGCTCTTTCCCCGCTTCTGCAAAATCACTTCTAGTCTTTCAGACCACAGCAGCTGTGAAAACACATCATGGCTTACTACATGCCAGAAAGGACCTGGCTAATGCACTGTGGTGCCATTGTCCTGCTGGTCCTCATCCACTGGTGCAATTCCTCTCAGGGCAAACTCATTCTTACCCAGGTTTTTTAATTATAGTCTTTTTCTATTCAGGCAGAAAATTGTTAATTTCTCTAGTTGCTAATTTCTCCCAACGGAAGGGTCAGAGGTCATATTCAGCTGCAGAGCAGCACTGGTATGACTCAGGGATCCAGCATTTTGCTCACGGGCACCTCAGCAGGACAAATACGTGTTGATGAAGAACCAGGAAACCTAAATATTTCAGATATCTTGGTTTTTGTTCAAAAGATATAGCCAATCTCTCAGCTGCAGAATCCCTCGTTAATACAGGGACCTGAACCCTAAATCTCTTTGAAGCATGGTCTCAGTCCACCAGCCTCTGCCGGGATAATTTATGGTAACAGTGCAGCAAAGGGTAGTGCTGCAACTCCTAGTCATCTGCCTTTAAAGTTAAACAAAACCACAAACAATAAGCATACAGAAATACAGTATTTTAAGCTAGACAACATTAAGTATGCACTATGTAAGCCTCCATAACTCCATGTTAAAAAGTGCAAATAGAAGCTGTTTTAAATTAGGTTATAGCCATAGACCCAGATTTGTTTTTTACGATACACACGCCTTATATGAACAACAGTAAAAAGCAACCGTAATGCTTCGAAGTGTACCCTAAAAGTGTCCTTATGGGCATTTGCTGAATGTGCTTATAATAATCCAAGAGCAACTGAATTTACACTGAAAATAATGTTGTTATTTATTTCAGAGTTAATTCTTTAATTAAAAACTATGACAGCCATCTTAAATGCCAACGTGCATGAAAAGTCCTTCAATTTCTAAAAGAAAACGTATATAACTGCCAATAAATGGACCTTGAGGTGAGATTTTAATGTATGTTACTGACTGTTGAAGTTATTTAATACTTTAAAAATCGAATTAATTCAAGAACACTCAATTGCTGACATGGCTTAACAAGGTTCAACACGCAAACCGCCCATTAGTTCCCTCTGGTAAATCAGTGCGGGGACTGTTCTTCCTCTCCCCTCGCTGGATGTGAATGGGTGCGCAGGAAGCCCCGCCCACCTCGGGTGTGACGCTAGCCAATGGCAACGCACCGTGCGCCGTGGAAGAACGTCACATCATCATCATCATCAGTCGTTCTGCTGGGACTGCTGTCCGGGCTCTGCTGCTTGGCTTGCAGTCTCCACAGTAGCTCTTGTTTTTGTGTGTGTGAGACACCACTTGAACACTTCACACGACCGGAGACATTAAGGGACAAATTAGCTTGTCGGCTTCGTGGGAAGAGCGAAGGACACGTTGTGGACGAATGAAGAAACCTTGTTTCAGAGGAAGAAGACAGAGTGGCTGCCTGACTTTACTTCCAACCAGCGTCAACGCTACTTTGATGCAGCCGCTTAGCTAACAGGCTAACTGGGAATGTTTTCAGAAATTAGCCTAGTCTGCTAGCTTGCTAGCTAGCTAAATCGAATGGAGAGATTTGCTGTAGAGATTTAGCAGACTGTAATAATAATATGTTTTTATCTTTCGGTACATTAAGTGAAAGAACCGTGGAGACGTCTCGAGCCGGGTATGTTGGATGTTTAGGGCTCCAGTGCCCGCTTGGTTGCTAATTCCCAGAAGGGACAATAGTTAACTGCCCAGTCAACAAGTCTGGTACACACTACTGCTTTAACATCACTCAAGGAGTTTGTAACGTACTCTTTCTGTGCAGTGTTGTTATCAGTTGTCACATGGTTCTAGTTAGCTAAACATGAACACTGTGGTAACAATTAGCGTTGTGGAGCACAGTTTGTAGGTGATGGTATACAAAGGAGAGTTGGGTGCTACTTTAACGTTAGATCTCAATTTCTAAGTGGATCAAGTCACTGGTGCACACGAGACACCGATGCCACTTAGTCGATACAACTACTGATGAGGAGGCGAGGTTGGGTGAACATTATAAATCGCCCACATGCTTTGGATCAGGTCCCGGACTTGTGAAAGGCATCTGAAGCAAGAGGTGGGAGAAGTGAGCGCGCGACCCTTGCAGCCCGTGGGAAGATGGCGGAGAAACGCTCCCGCAGGAGGTGCTGAAACCCAAAACTTGCAGACTTCTCGGATTTATCGCCAGACATCTTATCTCAGATCGGAGGACACATGCAGGCCAAAAAACGGTACTTAACTCTGTTCTCCGCCGGCGCGTGTCTCATTCTGTTGTTTTGTTTTGGGGGGATACAAGTCCCGCTGTCCCGGGGGGGTCCCAGCCGGCGCGATGACCGCAGCCTCACCGGCTATCGTCCCGGGGCGCGGTGGCGTCACTTCCCGGGGTCCCTGCGGCCCTTCAGCACCTGGGAGCAAGACCGGAGCGATGAACACACATCTCCCAGACAGAAGAGGGACGCCAACTCGGGCTTTCTCAGCGGGAAAAGCTGCAGAATGGAGTCCTGCTTTGATTTCTCCCTGTGCCAGAAGAACGGATTTAAAGTGTACGTCTACCCGCAGCAGAAAGGGGAGAAGATGTCGGAGAGTTATCAGAACATACTGTCCTCTATCGAAGGATCCATGTTCTACACGCCTGACCCGGGACAGGCGTGCCTGTTCGTCCTGAGTTTGGACACTCTGGACCGGGACCAGCTTTCGCCCCAGTATGTGCACAACCTGAAAGTAAAAGTCCAGAGCCTTCATCTGTGGAACGGGGGCAAAAACCACATCATCTTCAATTTGTACTCGGGCACCTGGCCGGACTACACGGAAGACCTGGGCTTCGACATCGGCCTCGCCATGCTGGCCAAGGCCAGCATCAGCACCGAGAACTTCAGGCCCAGCTTTGACGTTTCCATCCCTCTGTTCTCCAAAGAACACCCCAGGACGGGAGGGGAAAGGGGCTACTTGAAACATAACACCATTCCCCCTTTTAGGAAGTACATGCTTGTTTTTAAGGGGAAGAGGTACCTAACCGGTATAGGTTCAGACACCAGGAACGCTTTATATCATGTCCATAACTCTGAGGACGTGGTCCTCCTCACCACCTGTAAGCACGGGAAGGACTGGCAGAAGCACAAAGACGCACGCTGTGATAAAGACAACACAGAGTATGACAAGTAAGTACTATCCAGTTGATTTCCCAGCAAGAGTGTCTCAATTCGCACCATCCGGTAGCAGTATGGGTCTGTTTCCCTTTGTCATTATACTTCCCAGAGGTGAGGCATTATGATGAGACTATTTACAAATGCCACTCTCTCTGGGGGACTATCTAGGTCCCACCTTTCCCCTCATCTAACCCCTCTTCATTTTACACACCTGATTTTCTCAACAGCGATTCAAAACTCTTCAGTGGACACGAGTGATTTGTTGCTTTTAAATAGTCCTCATATCATATGACTTTATTTCCGAAATTACACATCACGAGGCACAGCTGAGTAGATTACTGTATTAATGTAATGCAATTGATATCTCCGTCTGTTGACAGCCTGCTAGTCAGCGGTGGAGAAATCTGCTTCTCTTGCTCTCGACGTTTCCACCTTTCTGCCCGTCGGTGTATAAGCCGAAAGGTTATACATTCCTCAGTAATCCCCCGTTCCTCCAGAAGGCAATATTGCACAGCTCCATTGCCTCAAAAAGTTGCTCTGTGGTCACTACCCTGTACTGCAGTTGAGCCGCGCTTGTTTTCTGTGCCCAGATCTGACGAGCAAACTGGCGTCTGTCTCTGGCCAGTGGGATTCATGCCGTGCCGTGTTGTTACTGGTGGCTGTGTGGCGCTGGGTGTTTGACCGTGGCTCTTCGGAGTGGATTAGCGGGGACAAAGCGCTGGTGCCAGTAAGGGGAAGCCACTCGGGGCCCCTGTTTGCTCAGTCATTTCCCAGACCAACCCAACCGCATGAGCCAGGAATGCCCCGGCCCCAGCCAGTGTCCTCCGTGACCCTGCCATTGTTTTGGGGGGCCTGTTGTGCTTGACCCCCTTGTCGACCCTTTTATCTAGTTGTCAGTTGTTCAGTTTGGGTAACAGATTTCAATGCATGTTAAGGGGTCTGATATGAAACCTGCGTGCAACATGGATTACAGTGAGATTGAGGTGTTTTCTTTCCGTTTCCAAATTCATAAACTGGTTCTGCTGCGTTTTTAATATCAGCATTGCTGCTCGGGGGATTCTCCTCTTTGTGCCTGCCTGTATGGGTAGGTATCGGCTTATGAGGTTCATTCGTTGGCTCAGCAGAATAACATTCTCAGTATCACTCTTAAGACATGAGCTATCTGCTCTCTCTCTGCCAGCTCGCTGCTCGCTGCCAGGGAGTGATTACACACAGTGAGATGGGTGGCGTCAGAGTCGTAACCCAGAGGAGGAATTAATCCTCCTGTCATTAAGTAGCATACGGGGAGAAAACGGGCTTTGGGTATCTCGCTAGCCCTCGTCAGCTTCGTGGCATGGCTACAGTATGTTCGGCGGGTCTCAGTCGGTACATCCTCAGTAAGCCACATCGCTTACTGTGTTTGATCCCCACGACACTGTGGAATTCCTGTTCAATTAAATCAAATGAATATACTGATCCGTGCCCCTAGTGCTGGTAGAGGCCTGACATTCATCAAAGACAGTGTGACACTTCAACTAACATGGTTACAGAAAGGTGTGCACTTAAATGGAGAGGAGCATACACTAGTTTAAGCCCATCTGTGACTTTTATCTTGCTGCAACACATTTCACTCCATGATCAAATCTTACTGACATGATTTTTAGCCAAAAATCATGTATCATGTCTTTTGGACCTTCCATCATTCAGTCAGTAATACAAATTAAGGCTGCATATACAGATAGAATACCGCCGACAGTAGCAGTAAACAATGCTGGTTAGAGTGGATTCTCACCACTGAGTCATAATTTAAAGATCAACGTTTTCATAACACGTATTTTTCCAATGGTTTGTGTACATGTAAGAAGTGAAAAGTGTATCTCTGAGCCAGATATTATACATTCTTTATGAGAAGTTTGTTTGGAATGGATCTTGTAAAAGTATATCTTGCAATGTGCAGTGATTTTACAGAACACAGTCTGAGGCTCTTGGGACTCATCTGCTACAGTTTTTTGATGTGTGTGTGTGTGTGTGTGTGTGTGTGTGTGTGTGCAATAATAGCCTGTTCTAAAATTTTACCACCACTGGAATTTGGTTTTATACCTCTTGGTGTCCAACCTGTTTTATCCCTTCAGATGTCTTTGTATTGTGGAGGAAGCTCCAGATGCGGTGGCTCCCATCATATCAAGTGTTAATTAATTGCCTTTTTTGGCTCTAGTCAGCGGCACAGTGGACCAATCAAATCCTATCGTTGCAATGCGGTTTGTATTAAGTCAGTTTGGACTAAAGCTTGGGTAGGGTTCTCTCTTATTTTAGGGGGAAATCCAAATGGTTCACATTACGTCTGACGGGACTGATTCATCAGTTCTCAACAGCGAAATCTTTTTCGGTCAGTAATCGCATCCAGACCCACGCTGGTTCCATGGCCCGGCTTGGAGCTGAAACAGGGGCTGAGACTCAGAGGGTGCGTGGGACAGTAGTCAAGGAAGCCAGTTGTCAAGGAGATCAATATTTGCTTTTGGGTCTCTGACTTGTGCTCTGCTGTAGACAACATACTAGTGCGATCAGGCTGGTTGCAATATGCCCAATATCTTCCTGATTAAGCAGCTGTTTGTTGGATGGACAGGGTTGGACTCAGGTTAAGACATTAGCCAATTTTGTAAAAAAAAAAGCCAAATATTTTACCAGCTATAGGTGCACTACATTTATGCTTATTCCACACTGTATCACCTCCCTTACACAAAGCAGATCAGAAGTATAGCTTCAGATTTAGCTTAGATTTTACTAAAATGCATATGTTCTGTTGGTAGTACTGAGCTCTCCATGCAGGTTAATGTGTATTTGTGAGTGAGTTGTATTGTCCCTGTGGGTCAGACAGTACAGTCTGTGGTCTAACTGGGTGGAAGTAATAGTTTCTGTGCCCGGCTGCGGCCCTTTTGTGCAACAAATCCCTCTTATCCTCTCCCACTGACAACACGGAAGTTGTGACAGACTGAATGCAGCCTCTCGCCATAATTACCATGTAACGACCATGTCTTTTTGTGCACTACTGAAGTGTTTATTCTCCAGATGTTGGCTTGGAATGTGTATGGGTTTTTGATATACTTTGCGTGTACATGTGTTGCTTGTTTGAAGGGAAGACATCTGTTACATTTGGACACGGCATTGCACAGGACACTGTCTGATTGTTCTTGTTTAATTGTAATTTTAGTGTATATTTTGCGTATTGCATAATATCTGTAAGCTCAATTCTCTAATCTTGAGATAACATGGTCTTTTGACAGCTTAAAGGTCCAGTGTGTGGGATGTGATGGCATCTAGCAACTGAAACCCGAACGGCCCTCTCCAGAGCCAGTGTTTGGTTTGTCTGTTCAGGGCTGCTCCAGAAACATGGCTGCCCTAAGTTACTGAAAACGCAGCCATTCTTATTTTGAGGTGATTGTACACTAAAAAAAGTCTGTTTGTGGCTTGTTTTAGTTTCCCTTATTGGTGATATAAATCTGCTAGCTACCTCTAGCCTCTACAGTAAATGAAGTATTTTAGGATTGCTGTACTCCTTAACTGCTATGATGAATATTGCTTTTACACACATTGAATGCTCCCACATACCTGTTCATAACATATGTGAGGAAAAGTCTAGAGGTGTTTTTGTATTCAGGCATGATAAAACGGTCCCATATTTGGGATTGTTAGAGGTTGTATCGGGTATGATTCAAAAATGTCTCTTAGCTAGCGCCCTGTTCTCGTTTACATTTCTTACTGGAGTTATCTGGATTGATAGAGCGTTATATTTCACATATTTGTGTGTCGCAAGTAAACTACAGCATGTCAATTTGTGTGTGTTATCCTTTGTGACGTATATTACCCTGTGCCAGTACACTGTTGTTTACTCAGTATATATACCAGAGGCTCGGAGACAGGTCTTGGAGCAGCCTTGATGCATATTCTGTATGTGAATCAACTCTGTCTCCTTCTTGCAAGAATAAATGTCCTGTGATTAATGATTTTTACATCGGCTCGAGTGAATTTTTTTTAACAGATGTCGCACTGCTTTTTTTTTTTCCAGCCAGTGGGTAGAGTCAACTTTTTTTTGCTTCCCTTTTCACAACACTCCCTCAGACATCTGCACTCAGCCACTATGTGTACACAAGTCTGTGATGCAGCCAACGGAGAGAAGAAAAGTTCCTGCAGGAGGCCGGTCAGATGCAATTTTAAAACCTCCAACTGAAAGCCCTCTCACAGCTTGTTTCCAATTAAGAGGCCCTGCCAAGCGAGAGGGTACAAGATGGATAGAGTGAGCGATGAGGGGGAGACGAACTGAGAGTGAGCTTGGGGGGGGGGGGGGGGATAGGAACACAAGTAGCAAGACGGAGGGACAAAGTAAAAGCAAGAGAGGAGGAAAAGGCATGCCAGCCACCCAGCAGTGTGAGGTGAGTGCAGTAGTTGGCTGGGTGCTGCCGCTGGTCCGCTAGGTGTATTTATAGACTTGCAGGGTTTTAATCCTCAGTATTGGCCAAAGCCCCTGGCAGAGGGCTGCCGGCCAACCTGATGCAGGCTTTACAGAGCTTGGGCAAAACGATAATCGGGGGGGTTGATCTGAGTTTCTTCATATGCCCTATATTGTTTATTTAGTTGCCTAACTCTCCTGAGTAACTGCAAATGGCACTGCTTGACAAAGGTGTGTGTGTGTGTGTGTGTGTGTGTGTGTGTGTGTGTGTGTGTGTGTGTGTGTGTGTGTGTGTGTGTGTGTGTGTGTGTGTGTTGCGTTGCGTTGCGTTGGAGTCTTTAAGCCGTTGTCATTTGCTCGGTGAAGACAACAAGAGAGGACGAGGCAGAACATGAAATACGATTTGCACTAAGAGGGTGAAATGTCTGATTCCTAAAAGGCTGCCAGAAAGCTCTTTCACCGACTGCCTCCGCTACTTATTTGCTCACCGTACACATTCCTAAAACTGCAGCCCCTGTTTGGCCAGAATCCTATAATGACGTGGGGCCCAACAGGCTCGGTGCATCAGGGCTCTTTAAAGTCTGTGATG